CTTCCATGTTCCCCAGAGCAGCATTGATCCCTCCCTGAAAATGAAAATCCATTTTCCTGGCATTACATTACTTGAGTATAGCTTTAGCAGGTTTACTTAATTTCTATTAAAAATCACATACTAGTTATGCATCTGTGTACAAGAAATAAAGTCAAGTTATATTTAATGTGGCTGTGAAAAACCTTTGAAACTCCTCCTTTCACAATGGCTTATCCTGCTTTTTTGTGTAACACAGTGAATCACAGTTACACTGTAGACAAAGAAGGAGCACTGCATTTTGATAATGTTTAGAAAGGGGGAAGAAAAAAGAGGCAGCATAATGAAATGCAAATGTATGGGAAATTAAGGATTTTAAGAACAACTGGAAGCAAGATTAAAAAAATGTGTCTTGCAAGGTCACTAGCTTGGTAGCAAAATGAAATGTACCTGTTACTTAATAGAAAGTTTGGCAGTCATGGGTTAATGACTGGACTCTCATGATATCAGAGGTCTTTCCCAACCTTAATGATCATGATTAAGTTTGATTCTATGACATACTACCCTCCAAAAAGTTTCAACTAAATATGCAACATTCATAAAAAGAAGCATGGCCTTGAAACAAGATGTTCATGTGCCCCATCCCTAGAAGCGTTCAAGGCCAGGCTGGATGGGGTCCTGAGCAATCCAATCTAATGGGTGGAAATCCCCACCCATCGCAGGGGTGTTGGAACTGGGTAACATCTAAGGTTTCTTCCAACCCAAACCATTCTCTAATTATTTTACATCCAAATTAGCTCTCTGACAGCAAGTACGTTTTAAACATTTGCTCTGCCTCATTCCTCACCTGTGCAGCAACTGTATGAGAGCGGGTGGGGAACAGCTTGGTAACACAGGCTGTGTTAAACCCAGCTTCTGACAAACCAAAGGCAGCCCGCAGACCTGCTCCTCCTGCACCCACAACAACTGCATCGAATTCATGGTCCACTACTGGGTATTGTGTAGAAATCTGCAAAAATAAATCACTTTGTTATGATCACAAATAGTTCAAAGTAAGTCAAACACGTTTCCTAAAAGCATAACCAGGATCGGTATAATGCTCTCAGCAGACTTTAGCAGCAATTGCTACATCTGTCGTACTCTCTTGCTTGGAAACTGTCATTAAAAAGAGCCACGCATTTCAACAACTCAGTGTCACGAAGTACTTGACTACAATGCTCCACTGAAAGCCTGAAAGTTTAATGTCTGTCAAGCATTAAGTGCATTACTGAATCAGAATATAAAAAGTACAGACATACCGAGTCAGACACCTTCGTGGAGGCATTTTTCTTTCCATAGACTGTGAAGTGTAAGTTCCGTGCAGGAGCCTGGCATGCTGCTGGCCACTACAGAAAGAAGCCAAGACAACTATTATGGGACAAATGTTTCCACAGGATAGACTTACAGCACTCTCAGCTACCCTACATTTATAACAAATCTTCACTTACCATTTGTAGCACGTATACAAGAGTATTATTGCATTTCAGAGCTACCTGCACTGAAGTTCTGGCTGTCCTACAATCATGCCATATAATCAAAAAAAGTTTGACTGATGAGATAATAGCCTGTGTCGCACTTTTTTAGGAACAGCAATAGTGACAACACAGACTCTCAAGCTTATGTGCAAAAGAGAGCTAGTTTTATTCTTCCGGCTCTCCTTTTATAGACAGTTCTGAAAAGGTAAAACTTTCACTGGCCATCAAAACAACACATCACCATCACTGGACAGTTAGGAACAACACCCCCTTGACCATTTCTCACAAGTAAACAACAAGGAGACAACGCCTGCAAGGGTTGTTTTCCTTCTCTAAGGACTGTTTGAGTTTCTCTTCACAATTTCTCAGGCCACACTTTCTCAGGCCAGTGTGAGAAAGTTATGTGACGTAATTTCACACAAACACTGTGCTACCTGCCTGATCTCCTGCATTCAGCATCCACAAGCCTGCAGTTAACAGGATGTCTCAGATTACCCACTATTGACTTCACCAACAGTGACCAGCCTCCCAGACCTGTATGAGTCTGCACTGACAGAAGAGTATGTCTGCAATTAATGCTGATGTATTCTCACAGATTTTTCATAATTAAGCAAAGATGAAGCTTCGTGGGAACCATGGGAAGTAAAGGAAAATTACTCTCCTGTCAAGTAATCCTCAGAATTTGAATTATTTCAGGTGGTCACAGTACTGAAAATTAAAAAAAGGTTATAGGGAATGCTCTTCCAGCTGAGCATTGCTTCAAAAGTCAGAGATATTTCTCTTATTCTTTATGAAATTAGTGACCAATTTGGAACCATTTATTAATACATAAACTTAGCACAAAGATGCAAGTTTTACCGTTCTGCAATGTCAACTCCCTATCCCCTGACTTGTCCAAAACCAAACCAAACCAACAAACACCACACCCAAACCTATTCAGTATGCAGTCTGTGCTTTGACAGATTAAAACAATCAGAATCTTAGTCTCCACCTCTCCAATGTATCAGAACCTGGTATTCCTTCTTTACACAGTTCAAAAAATAAGCCTAACTTAGCATGTATGATTGCTGAGAACAGCAACACAAAGCCACATTAGTGACCTGTCCAGTGACATCAGCACTTCCCTATTTGAAATATAACCTAAAATGCACTGGAGTGATTATCTGCAGCTGTTACATTCCTACAGTATGCTAACAAGCAGCTATTCCCTCCCCCAGCGTCCACCTCTTCCCCATCTCTGATGTGAATTCCAGCACACTTTCCCCAACCTAGTTTCATCATTTCTCATACCAGTTTCCTTAAATTATCTTCTTGCATAACAGCAAATCCACTCTGTCATTATACTTGCTAGCACATTTCTGGTTTCTGCAGTCATCCTGGAATAAGATCAGCTCCTAACACCTATTCATAAGGAGTTCCACCAGTACTCTCCTCCAGGCAGCTACTCTCTCCCTGTTCCACACAGCTGTGTTACGAGGTTTTTAGCTCGAACAAAACTGCACAAATCAGAAAAAGATGTCACACTAAGTCTGAAGAAAACACTGATTGCAGTAATCCTGAACTCTTATGACACCAGGAAGATCGTGACCCTTTTGAAACTAAATGTCCAGTCAGGGCCAGCTCACTGACATTTAAAATATGTAGACACTCCTTAAGCCTTTCCCTCTCTCTGTAGTTGTATTTTCTGCTTTGTAACACAAGTACAACAGCTCACTTTCGTTATCCCAAGTTCATTATGGGCATGCAGGATGAGAACAGTGGGAAGAAACTGAAAACTCCCACCTCACAATGGAGACAAACAAGCCCTCATGCATGATTTACAGCCCCCTAAGACAAACCTGACAGACCCCTCAGCAGGGCCACAATCACCAGCCAGGTTCAAGCAACTCAGATATACACTGGCTTCCCACACAGGTCCAGGATCACAGAATGCATTAGGCTGGAAAAGGCCTCTGAGACCACTGAGGCCAACCAATGACCAAATACCATCGTGTCAACTAGACCATGGCACTAAGTGTCACATCCAGCCTTTCCTTAAATACTTCCAGGAATGGTAACTCCACCACCTTCCCGGGCAGCCTATTCCAATGTCTGATCATCCTTCCTGTGAAAAAATTCTTCCTGATGTCCAACCTGAAAGTCCCCTGGTGCAGCCTGAGGCCATTTCCTCTTTCCTGTCACCAGCTGCGTGGGAGAAGAGACTGAGCCCCATCTTGCTACAACCTCTCCTCAAGCAGTTGTACAGAGGAATAAACTCCTCCCGAAACCTTCTTTTCTCCAGGCTAAAAGCCCCCAGCTCCCTCAGCCGGCCCTCACAGGACTCGTGCTCAGACCCTTCGTTGCATTTCTCCGGACTCACTCCAGCACCTCAATGTCCTTCGTGAACTGAGCAGCCCAGAACTGAACACAGCACTCGAGATGTGGCCTCAGCAGCGCCGGGTACAGCAGCACAATCACTTCCCATGTCTTCCTGTGCACACTACTGATGATACAGAATGAGTCTGCGGCGAGCTTTCTATCCCGCTGCTCGGGCTGCACCTGCCAGCCTCCTCCAGGGCCTTTCCCGCTCATCCCATTCCCTCAAAACCTTGTTCAGGGCCTCAGGCTACGGCGCTCACTTCCCGAGCCGGGAGGCGCGGCCCAGCCATACCCACAGCCACCTACTCCCAGGAACCTGGCCCCGGGACACGAGTCGCGAGATCGGTGCCGCTCCAAAATAGCACCGAAGGAACCGAACCTGCCGGGGCTGAGGAGATCACCGGGCGGGTCAAGGTCACGGAGGAGACAGCGGAGGCAGGCCACCGCCGGCGGGAAAGCAGGACAAGTTCAAGGGCAAGGACAGGGGCAAGGACAAGGACAAGGACAGGGACAAGGACAAGGACAGGGACAGGGACTCACCGCCCGGGAAGCCGCGGCCGGTCGCAGCCAGCGCTTGGCCAGCCCCCGCACAGCCGCTGCCGCCATCACGCACCGCAGACTTGGGGGGAGTGGAGGGGGGAGCGGGTGTGGAGGGCGCAGGCGCGGGGCACGGCGGGACAGACCAACAGTGCCGCGAGGGGGGGCTCACCACCCCAGAGGTGCGTGATGGAAGATTCCTAAACAGCTCTTGTTTTGTGCTTTGAGTGTAAAGAACATTAAAAAAAACAAACAAACAAACAAACAAAAAGCCTAGAATTGTGTTACTGACATTATTTTTCCTTGATGACATATTAAAATACGTACTTCTCCAATACTGTAAGATTCAGCGTCTTTGTCTGACAGCGCCTGAATTTTTGTGTAATAAACAGGCCAGAATAATTTTTTGAAGTTGTGGGAAAGACTATTCCGTAGACATAAGATTTGGACAGAAGGGTGAAGGAAAGACCGTACAGTCTCTCTCGGACAAAAAGCAGACTCAGCAGCTCCAGACGCTGGAATTCAGATGCCGCTCACGGCTGCCTTTGCCGGCGGCTTTATGAAATAAAAAGCGCCCGGCAGGGGCGGGGACTGACGTCCGGCAGCGCTCCAGGCTCGGGCGAGCCTTGTCTTGTCTTCTCCCCCTTTTTCCCCAGGCTGATGGGCCGGCCCGGGAGGGGGCGGGGCCGGCAGGTGAGTGGCAGCGCCAGGGGTCCGCGCGCTCCCGGGCTCGTGCGTGGGGGTCTCGCCGTGGGGGAGCGGGACAGAGACGGGAATGGGAGTGGGGATGGGAACGGGGATGAGCTCGGCAGGCCGTATCGCGCCCGGGGCTGCCGCTCAGGGCGCGGCCAAGCGTCGGGGCCGCCGTTCGAGGGGCTCGGGCAGAATTCCCAGGCCCCCAGCGGAAGGAGAAGGTGGCAGCGGGAGCGGTCCCGGTCCCTCTGCGCGCTACTGAGGCGGCGTCTCCCCTCTGTGCATCGCAGGTGCCTTCATGAATAACTTAAACGAGCCTCCCAACTGGAACATCCTGCCCAATCGGCGCGGTCCCGGCGATGACGGCAGCCGGTGGAATTACGCCCTGCTGGTCCCCATGCTGGGCCTGGCCGCCTTCCGTGAGTAGCGCTGGGCCCCCGGCCCAAGGGGGGCTCCTGGAGCAGTGCGGTGATAGTGCCCAGCCCTGCCCCGCCTGGAGACTTCCCCAGGCCTTCTTGTTTATAGCGCTGTAAACAGCCAGCGCTGTTGGTAGCGCTAAGGCAATGACCACTTCTCATACGCAGAGTTGAATCCATATTTAATAAGCTCCAATATACAAAGCTCTCTCGGGAAAAATGGACACAGGATGTGCTGGAGAGCCCAGAGGTAACAACGCCAGATGTTGCTGATGTATTTATTTACTGGGCCTAGAAAATTCGTCATGCAATATCTGCATTGGAGACCTCCAGTTTGTTTCTCCATTACTTTATTTTCCTTCTCTAATCTAAGTAGTGCTAGTATAGACAATAAAATAATGGAAAATTTCTCTGAAATTTTATTTCAGAGAAAGCATGATCATTCAAAGTGACTCACTGTGAAACAAGGACCACAGAAATATATTTTGTGGGGACATGTATATAGAAATATCACTGGGAAGGGCAGGAAGGAGAGCTTTTTACCACTTCGTAGCTTCATTTCTGGCATAGCTAATTTATCATACCCCTCATTGTTACATGTTATACTTGCATCTGAAGTCTCATTTATATGTGATAGGTTGGATCTGGACCAGAGAATGTCAGAAAGAAATAGAAAAAGAAAGACAAGAATACTACAGAAAAGAGTCAACTTTACAAAAAGACCTGGAAGGCAAATACCGGGATATAATCACGGAGAATCGTCGCGCTGTTGCTCATCTGGAGGTGGAGCTGGAAAAGGAACGCAACAGGACCCTGAGTTACCGTGAAGCCCTCGTGTCCCAGAGCCGCAAACTAGTAGAAGAGAGGAAGCTGCTGGAACAGGAGCAGGAGAAGTTGGAGCGAGAAAAACAAGTCCTTTTGCAGTCTGGAGCAGAAGGTACCTTGTACCAGAGTTGCCTGGCAAAGGAAGAAGAGTGGCAACAGAGAGCCAATGTTTTACTAAAAGAATTTGAAGAGGGACTGAAGGAAAGACAGGACATCTACTGTAGTCTTATTGTACCCAGAAGTCAGAGACTAGAAATAGAGAAAAATCTGCTAGTTAAAGCAGCAACTAATCCTGTTGCTATGGCTTTACATGTGGAGAGTGGCTTAAAAGATATTTTCAAACATGATAACTACTGTGGCAATGTGCTGAACAGAACCAGAAGTCAAAATGGAAAGCTTATGTGGCTGTATCTGAGATACTGGGAACTAGCTGTTGAACTGCAAAAATACAAGAGGGTAGAAAAGGCCGTGTTAGGAAAACGCTAAGTAGGGGAAGCAGTGGGATTCCGCGCGATCCACTGTGCGTGGTAGGGGACAATCACAGTTGTAGTCTGAAGCTGTTAAATCCTTCTGCTTCTGTGTTGCCACCTCTCTTCCTCCTTGCACTTGTATTTGCATGGGACATGTGCAGTGCTGGTGCCTTTCCTCTCACTAACAGCAGGTGCTCTGATGAGCTGTGCATGCTCCTAAACTCCGTGAGTGTGTTTGTGTTGCAATATAGAGATATGCCAACTCCCCAGGTAACTCCAGAAGCAGCAAAACAGAACTCAGGTTAGAGGGATTTGCCTCGTTGATGGTCACTCCAGCAACAGAGAATGGTCATTTGTCTCCCCCAGGTGCAGTAGCACATTTGTGCTCCTTATCCCTGACATTTTACATGGTGTCTCAACACTGTCTTTTTTTATTACTATTATTTTTTAAAAATTTGTTTAAGCAAGACTGATTTTGAGGCAGATGTTTGAGAGAGGGTGTTGGAGCCAGCTGCTTGACACATAAATCTTACGTGTCTGTATGTACAATTACATAAATATATATATGTGTGTGTTTAAGTGTATGTGTTAGTATTCTGAGGGGGGGAATAGTTTGATGCTGTTTCGGATTAGTCAGTCTTGCATTGTCTTCCAGTTTAATATACAAATAATGCTTTATGAGTGAAACATCCAAAAGATGCTAATTCAAATAATGTATAAAGGAACAGACAGATGTCCCATTGGCACTTGGGATCCATTCTCAGATTCTAGAGAGTGTATAAACTGGAAGTTATATTTTCATATATTGGAGATACCTTAAAAATTCTTGTTTTTTTCTCATCGAGGTTTTAGTTGTAACCCAGTAATGTGCCACCTTTATGGGTGTCCCCATGCTGCTGCTTCTGCCTCTCAGGGCACTGGCTGCCTCCTGGTTTGCTTGCAGGGACCTCCTTGCCATTGCACCTGGCTCTGCTCCTTAGACAGGTCCCATTTGTTGTTTGCAGATGGGAGCCTAAATGCAGCCTGCACTGGTAGCCACTACTCCCTCTCCACCTGTTTCCCAGAACTGAGGTACATACTCTTTTTCTGCAGCTCTGAAATTCTGTGCTTGTGGTTCACCACTTTACATACACATGACCACGAAAGCCTACAGATTCACAAGCTTTGCACACTTCTAAGAAAGTTTTTTTTTTAATTTAGCTACTAAAATAAAATAGGTAAAAAAAAATAAAAAATACTGTGAAATAATGCAGGAAAATAAAAAGGTCCAGATTTAAAAAATTCGACAACAAACAAATTTTAAAAACCCAGTGCGTTTCAGTTTCCTAGAACTTTGAGTATACTTTTTGTCCTTTTAGGAGTAGGAGCCACCTTTCTTTCAATTGTGCCATGTATTTAAAATAATAACTTTGTTCTTCCCCCCTTCTAATCAAGCCTTAGACCTCAAAGAGGCAGTGTTTACCCTTTCATTTATAACATTTAGTCTCCTCTGTTACTTGACTGATTAGTGCTGATAGGTTGTCAGTTGGTTAATTAGCAGTTTATTATCTGCTGAGGGTTAGACTTGACAAACGCGTTTGCTCTAGGCAATCATGTAGAACCATGGCTTGGAAGCAATCCAAGCTAAGTTTATGCCCATCTTCTTGTAGATGTGGGGCTTTTCTCTTACTGTTTTCTCCTGGTTTCATTTTAGTCTGAGCTCAGAAGATAGCAGATAAATCTTTTGAAACAATGTGTGCAACTTAATCCAGTTACTAAGCAAAAATATTTAACGTGGAACAAAATTCCTGAGCAGAACAGATGTTTCCCAACTACTTGGTTTTCCAGTTGAGATTTTGCTCACCTTGGTAGCACTAATTGCACTGTTTTGTTGACTTATTAATCCTTTTTTCATACTGAGTTTTTAAATTAAGTTTTAGTATACAAACTTGGAGAAAAAGAGATCACAAACACCAGAAGAGCCACAGTTTGTCTGGGTGCCGAGCATATACGGGTTGGGAGATGAGAACACAGCTGAGTTGCTACTCATGTGTGACACCCTGAGCCAAGCTGCTGCAGCTGGACATAGGCACACAGTCTAATTGCCCAGGAGAACAAATTAGTTTGAATAACGGCCCGTGTGTAATTCCTTCAGGACGTGGAAAGTGACTGTCCAGCTGTGGCACGCTTCACACGTTCCTGCAGGCAGTTAAGGCACTCAGCTGACTAAGAGGGAATCAGTGCCAGTGTAATTGAGATTCATGCCTTGAATTTGTACAAGTTAGCCTTAAAAGATCAAAGGTTTTATGCTTTTTCCTAGTTTGTCATTCATATCACTCAAAATGTTTAAAAAAAATATAATCAAAGGTAAAATATTATTTTTTCAGTATGAATATGTACATTCAAGCCTTACACACTTGAATGTACAGGGTTGGATGCAATGTAGTAAAGGTTTGGTATTCACTTTCTCTTTTTTAGAAGTGTTACTTATTTGTACAACTAATTGAACTAGTGGTCGTGGACACTTTGAAGATCATTGTATCAAGACAGAAGGGTTGTTTCAGAAGGCTTTTTAAAAGTGTGTAACTGATTTAGAAGCACTGGTCCCATCAGTTTCTACCAAAACTCATGTTTGTGGGTATGCAATGTATTTTTGAAATGTTCCCCCTTTGTAGGTTGTTATGCTGAAAATTCTAATGTAAGTTAAAATGTAAGTTTTATCTTGCCCCGCACTTGTTCTGAACTGGTTAATTGTTTGGAACTGCCCATATACATATGTAGAATGCAAGAATAATTTGTTTTCAAAGTATTTAATGAACTTATTTTTATTATAAAATTGTCACTTAGCTGTTAAACAATAACATTTAATAAAAACCTTTACATATTTCTGCATTGTTTTGTAACTTGGGCAAGGTGGGTAGGAGAACTGGAATTTGCTACTTTATTCAGACTTTCCAAATTATCACACCATTTCAGGTTTTATTAAATTGTACGTTTTTTAAATTGTCATGTAAAAAGTTTTGGTCTTGGTGCTGAGAAAAGAATATGTTACAAAGTTTTTTTTCTTAGGAAAGAATACTGTTAAACAGGTAAGTGCAGAGCATTAACTAAAGACGTGGGGTTAAAGGTGACCATCCCTCTGAAACACTGGACATCCCTTCGACAGAATGTTGTGTAGGATATTCTGGCTTCTTCCAGAATCCCTCAGATGTCTCATTTGCATGTCAGCTGCTTTTCATTTCTCTCATCTTCCTGCTCTCTATGAAGAACTGCAATCCAGCTGCTCTAGGACAGTGTTCAGACACTTGAAATTCTTGTTCCTGGAATAAAAGATCCTCAGTCTATTTGTATTTGACACAATCCTTCATCCGCTGGCTCTTTAAAGCATGCGTTTGATCACTCCTGTGTGAGGCTGAGAAAACTGAGTGTTCCTCTGTGGAGGGTACAAGGCAGAAATAGTGGTCAAGGGTTCAGTTACTGTGGTGAAGTCACAGGAATTTGAGTTATTGCTGTGAAAAAAGGATGAAAGGCAAGTTTATAGTTGCAGTTGTGGTGCAGCTGGATATGAAGGCTTTGCTGGTGTGCATGCCAAGGTCCACATTATTGGTCATTAATTTACTGCCTGGTCCAGGAGCTTTCCCTCATCACTGCATATCTGAGACAACAGATGGATCTGCTAAGAAGTAACTCACTGAAATTTAGTGTAGCTCAGCAGTGAGGCAATGGCCACTTCACAACAAAACAGCTGAGTGATTGCTGCTACAAAAACTGAAAGTAAACTGGAGTAAACTGAAAGTAAACTGAAAGTAAATGTGCTTCTGGAAACAAGGAGTCTGTGGGTGGAAGGGTTTGAAGAGACCTGGTGGATTGTGAGAAGAGTGGTGGCAGCTGTCCATAGGTATGCACCCCAACAGCCCTCTGCTGAAATGATCACCCGGGCTGTCCAGCTGCCGAAAAAATGCCTCTTCACTCTTGTGTTCATAACAGGTTTGTATTTCTGAGATAAATCACCTCTAAACTTACCGCAATCAGAAAAAAATCCTCACAAAGCTGCTGTGGTTGGTATTTGTGTCGCTGGATGCTGCTTCCCCCTTGTGGCTGATGGCTCTTCCCGCCGGCAGCCGCAGCCGCATCCTCTGTTCCCGTGAGCTCCGCTGGACCTCGTCTCCTAATGCTGCACAGCCAGAGCTCTCTGGCCCAAACACCTCCGGGGTATAACAAGAAAGGTGAGCAGAGCCGTGGTGTTCGGTGACCAAACCAGAATGAACTTGTCTCCATTGATGTGGGTGCTGCGGCAGACCTCTGTGCAAAGGCGGCAGGCAGGGGCTGGGTGTAGTTCAGCAACCGATTAGCACCTCATTGTATATTGCAGCACTGAAAAGAAAACCCTGACAAACTCGATTAAAGAACACTGATCATTGTTTAATGAAGACAGCAAGAAGCAATCTACAATGGTTAACATGTTCCTGCTGGAGGAGAGACACTTGTGGTGAGACAGATCCCAAGCAATAGCACTTCACTGACTGAGAAATTTGCGGGGACGTTGACCATTATAGAGTGGTTTGGGATGAAAGCGACCTTTAAAACTCATCTAGTCCAACCCACTCGCAATGAGCAAGGACATCTCCAAACAGACCAACTTGCTCAGAGCCCCATCCAACCTGACCTTGAATGTTTCCAGAGATTAAACACATACCACCTCTCTGGGCAACCTCTGCCAGTATTTCAAAACCCTTGTTGTAAAACAATTCTACCTTATGTCTGTCGCACTATATTAGGAACAGCGAAGTACGACAGACTCTCTTAGCTGGGTTGCCCGTGAGAGCTAGTTTTTATTATTCCAGATCTTCTTTTAGAGACAGGTCCGAGAGGTAGAACTGTCATTGGTCATTAAACCAACACATCACTATTATTGGACAAGTAGGAACTACACCCCTTGACTGTTTATTGCAAGTAAACAACAAGGATCCAAACAACACCTGCAAAGGTTGTTGTCCTTCTCCAAGGACTGTTTGGATTCCTCCTTGTGCTTTCTCAGGCCAGAGTGAGAACCTTGTGTGACTTAGTTTTACATAGGTTCTGTGCTCCCTACCTGCTCTCAGCATCCATATATATCTAGCCTAAACCAGCATCCATATATGTCTAGTCTAAACCAATCCTCCTTTAGTATAAAACCATTATCCCTTGTCCTATCACAACAGGCCCTGCTAAAATTTATCCCTATTCATAATAAGCCCCCTTAAAGTACTGAAAGGCTACTACAGTAAAGGCTCCCCAAATCTTTTCTTCTCCATGCTGAACAACCCCAATTCTCTCAGCCTATCTTCATAGAAGTGCTCCAGCCCTCTGATGATGAGATCAGACAATTTGGTGCTGTCCACAGAAGAATTTCTAGCCCTATGCTCCTTACCTGTACTTCCTCAAAAAGTTATTCCAAAGATGAGATGTGTTCAAAGATGAAAGCAATATTTTGGTGATCTTCTGACTGTATATAGTGAATTATTTAAGACAGTACATCTCACTCCCTATTGTCAAAAAGAACAAAACAACAAAGCATGCTGCTGGAGCCAATATTACTTCAGTTAAATATTTATATATAAACTGAAGTAAATATTAGGAAAACTACCAGTACAGACAAACAGAAAGATTGTGCCTCTTTCTGGGAGATAAAAAGGAGTAAGAGGCAACATGGGCATCAGCGTCAGCTCAGTGCTGGATGAACTACACCAGACATGCTGTTCATAGTGTGTTCCCTGTATTTTTTCTGTGGATAGGGACACTGCTACTTCCACAATAAATATAAACAGAAAGTTCCTTGGCATGTCAGATTGCTGAAGTAAAGTCCTTGACACCATAAAACCAGTGCATAATGGGATGCATGTGGAAGTCACTGTGTGTGACATCCTACCTCCATTGTGTTCCCAGTAGTCAGGGACAGAGTTCCAGGGACAGCTTTGTGCTGTCTTATTTCTGCCTTGCAGCGATACTTGTAGGCACAAGCTAGAACTTCTTTCCAGTCTGGAGAAGTTTACAATCGCAAGGGAAGAAATTAAGGCTACAAAGTTTATTGTATGTCTCCAAAGTCTTTAGGTATTCCCTGCTTGAACTGCTGTGGGCTGGTGGCAGCAGCTTTCAAACGCTCACATAGGAAATCCAATTATGTCAGCTGAGGAGCTGTGAGAACTGTGCCTTTTGGTTACTTAACAGGTAGAGTTTGAGAACAACAGAGCATAAAACTTAGATCAAGTTAAAGATCAACAGATCATTTATTGGCAAGGTAAACTGCATGACCACCTGTGATTGTTTATTACCCTAAAACTAAGAAACTCTGAAATATTTTGCCTGTGTATCTCCCTCTCTAAGGTGATCATTATTGTCCCCTAGGCTGGAGATTTTGAGTCTGCTCTTGAGCCTGGGGCTCCCTTTTTGCACATCTGGTCCAAGATGTTACCCGCTGGCAGCCTGTAAAAGGATTTGTGTTTTCTCCACCTATTTTCAAGGATGGGCTGTCACAGAGACTATTTCATTTAACTCCTTCTCCTCCTTCTCCTTCTTCTCCTTCTCCTTCTCCTTCTCCTTCTCCTTCTCCTTCTCCTTCTCCTTCTCCTTCTCCTTCTCCTTCTCCTTCTCCTTCACCATCTTTACATTTCCATCCTTTCCCAGTTTAAGCTCATTACACAAGCAAGAGTAATTGTATTGATGTATATGATGCTTTGAATACCAAGTAGAAGCTGACTGGAAAGAAAGTGGGATTGAGGCTGGTAAAATATTGCTATAGAATTACTAGAGTAAGAGATTTCATTCCAGCATCTGCTGAAGTATTGAAAAGGGTCAGAAAATAATGTGGTTAATCCTAACAGCCTGGTATATTGCAAGGAACTATGAAAATATCTGGAGAGTTACAGATTTGTCCTATGTCATACCAGGCATGACAGAATCACAATGAAAGGATCATATTGCGTTTCATGCCTGAAACTATTGGCTGCAACCTGAAACCTAGCTGCAAACAATGTGTATTGCCAGTGGTCTCTGCTTTCCTCAATGTCTTTATATGAAAGGATTTTTTTTTAAAAAAAGAATAGTCCTGTTCTCTTCTTCCTATTTGTCCTCCCCTTCACAGGATCCAGATAAAAAAAAGTTCCTCTGAGGCAGTCTCCTCCAGCCTCTGATAGAGGGCAGAACCATAGAATATCTTGAATTGGAAGGAACACAGAAGGGTCATCAGTTCCAACTCCCTGCTTCTCACAGTAGCATAGCTGCACATAACTTTACATAGCTGTAAAATATTTCAGTTTGCTTTTAAATTATCTCAGATGTTTTATTGTGATGATAGATAGGAACAATTAATACACTATTATGAAAATGTGCAGAGCAAGTTGATCTGAAAGCTGTTGTGCAAGCAATCTGCTGAAACTTTTAGGAACCAAAGTTTCAAACTTAATTTTTTAGCCCAGGATTCCCAGTCTTTTGCTTAATTTATTTTTGCTGCTAAGTCTGGTGATCCACCTTTGATCCACCTTTGTCAGGATGTTTCAAAATCCTGCTAATTCTGTCACCTGTTCTGATTTTATCCTTGTCTGTCAGCAGATGGACTTACACCTAAAAGAAGACAAGCTACTTGAGTACTTGTCTTCTGTTCAAATCCTCCTTTACAGTACAATGAAATACTACAAGTTCCAAAGGTGGAAACTACACAGAACAGTTGCCACACCAAGTCCAGCTGCTGCCATAGTTCTGGACAGCCCTAGTCTGACTTGGCTTCTCTCTCCTGGCACCTACAGGGTCCCTGGCACCTTTGGCATGTCCTGGAGCCAGCTGTGACTCTTGGTTGAGTCCACATGGCCCCTCCACACACAGTGGAGAAGGC